TGAGACCATCTCCAATTTCATTTTAATCAAGGTTAGACCTTTAAGTGCTGAGCTAACTTTGCACTGTAGAATAAAGTCAGATACCAAGAAAGACATTTTGGTGGTTTTTTTTGTTACTGTCTAAATAAGGCTGTGAGTGAATAAAACATTAGAGCACTTGGCCCAAAAAAAAAAATCCACAGATAAATTGCAAGTTTTTCTCATCATGGTTCTCAACCTGAGAAACAAAACTTCTCAACAAGCATGCTGTCTTTCCCTTCCTTCACTTTCATTCCATCGAGTCTTCCTGTTACAATCATTTTATCATACCTCTGCCCTTTAACATGCACCATTCTTCCTTGATAGTGGCAGTGATGTGTGTCCAACAATTTTTGTTGCCTGTTAACACAAATTGAGTGGCCTGACTTGGAGATTTGGGGCTTTCCCTTCATTACCTTGTACAGCATTTAAATTTTCCTCCTTGTTTTCAGGTCAACACTGCTTAGCCAGGATCAGCTGTGCCGCAGATTAATTCTGCCTATGCTTTGTTTTCACAGCACAGTCATCTCTATGAAGAGCAACTTCTGAAGTCCAAAAAGCACAGATTTTTATCATACAGTAAGTTAAGGATAGCAGGTAACACCCTTACAGTAATTTTAAGGATGAAGGGTACCTGAAGCAAAGAGAAGCAGGAGGATCATGGCTTGCTACAGTGGGGTGATTTTTCAAACATTGTCCTCCTCAGACAAGTGGTTTTTCTTGTTCCAGTAACAGTCAGCCATAACCCTGACGAGGGCAGGGATAATCCTGTGCTTCTCTGATCACTCAGTTTTACCCTGTCCTCATGCTGGAGGGGAGGCTGTGCAAATAGTGAGGACCTCCAGCAGGGGAAGGAGGAACATGAAGCATGGAAGACTGCGTGTTTCCTGGCCTTAAGACCTCCCTCCTTCTTCTCCCTTGCAGATATCCGCATTACAGCCATATCGGTCCTTTCAGCAGGGTTTTGCCTCCACTCTCCAGAAGGTGGTATCCATTTCTCATATGAAGGTAAATTTTTCTACTCTGAAGGAAGAATTTGGTTTTTCACTTGCACAGATGAAATTCTGAGCTAATTTCTTTTGCCAGCATAAGTTTTATTTTACGTGCAGTCAAATCCAAAGACTTTTGATGCTCCCATATTGGGCGTAGGCTTTATGTGCCTGAATGTGTTGATTTGGTGCAGCAGCATGGTTTTGGAACTAACTCTTGGTCATTCCCACGTGATGCACATTGGCTTGGCTATAGAGCAGCTTTTGTGCACATGCAATAGTTTTTAATCTGTGTGAAATTAATCCAGAAGTTTTTCTGCTGGAGCTTACAGATGTGTTYTAATCCCTAGTGGGGGTCCAAACCACTGGCCAGTCCTTGGAATAGCCATGAATTATGGACATGATGAAGATGTTCAGTTCAAGGCATCAGACCATATCTATCTGAAGGACTGAAACACCCACAATGTGGATGTAGGGACAGCAGTAGCTTTAGTCTGCCAATCTCCTTTTGTTTGCTAAATTACATGTTAATACACATGTCAACTTAGGTGCCTGAAGAGAGATTTATGGGCTCTTCAGACTTTGTATGGAACTAGCCCAGAGCTAGAAAGAGGAAAACTAAATAGTCTGTGGTAGATGATGTCTATGGGAATACCTAGAGGCTTATGTTTTATGCAGTTGTTTGGTGGGAATGCGTACTTTGTGCCTTCATTTCCTGGGAAGCAAAAAGCACTCCACAAACCAGATGCATTTTAGATGCACTTCTTCCATTCCACATTGGGAGCGCTAACTTTGATCAGTTCTTGATCTTACCAGTGGGCATAAAAAGCTCAGAGGCACAGACTCTACGCACGTTTTGAATCTTGTTTATTGATTGAGCTCAAAGTGATGAGAGTGAAGAAATCCATGCCACAAAATATAAAAGACAATACATTCTAGGACAATATTTTTATTGACTTTTTGGTCCCTGAATGGCTCTGGTGCTTCACTCCTGAATACCTATATGAGTAACGCCATTTTTCTATCTTTATCTATGGAATAATTATATTTCTTTTTATACAAATGTATTAAACATAGTCTGTGTTTGCCTGGTGCTAACAAGACCAGAAGCCTTTCTTTTCCTAAACAAGTTTATGTAATTATGCAGTTTACAGTACTGCATATTTAATATTTGAGTGAGACCTTTAAGGTCGTTCTAAAATATATTTTTTTACTATAACACATCTTAATAGCAAATTTCATGTGTACCAAGCAGGTTTTCAGAAAATCCTCAACGTCTATAAAATAAACACCCATGAAGTAAGCCACATGTTACTGGAACATATTCATGCGCATTACTATCTGTCTACAAAAAAGTCTCATAATTAAGAGTACTGCAAGTAAAAACAAAATTAAGATGGTTGGATTTTTATTGAGTCAATTTTATGTTGTACTGAAGTAGCTCTGGATGCGATACTGCTACAAAACTTGTGTGGCTTTCCTGTAGAAACYATATCTGTGTGCAGAAGTGTCTGAATTCTGCTATGATGTGACAGTATGCATGTTCTTCAAGATGTGAATGCAAATCACATCATGACCCCTCCCACAGAGTACCCAACCTATTGGCTCTTGTCAGTCCTGGAGACTCCAGCTTTCAGCCAGTAAAGGCTCAAAAGACCCATCAGTGAGTGCAGTGATTTCTGAGTAGAACATGTTCTAACTACTCACCAGCCCAAGGTACTTTGAGCTGATAACTGTCCAGGAGAACCTGAGCCAGATTATTTAATTTACTGTGCTTTATAGATATCAAGTCTGACTGGATTAGCTTTCTGCACAAAATGACAGAAATCCTGAAATGGTATAAAAATGGCATTTCCATAATATGGTTCAGGTGTGCAGTTTCTACACAGGTCCTGATTATTTCCCATCCCACCTCATATTCTGCACAGCCGGTTTTCTGTAGGATTGGGAATTAAGGAATGCAAACAAGAATGGTTTTGTACTCCCTTTAACATCATGTTGTTTTGTCTTTTAGCATCTTGCCAACTCCTCTCTGTTCTCATTCAGATCTCTTCACCTGCTACTTTTCAATGACAATAACATTTGATTTACCTCATGTGCTTCTGCTGTTCCTTTATACTGATTCTTTCTGATCTATATTTTGATGTGTTCCACCTCTTGTATGATTCATTTCTGCTTCAGTTGTACCTAATGAAGCAAAAGCCATTCCTCCTCTCTTCTTTGTGTATCAGACTAATTGAGTGTTTCATAAGGTTTCTTTTAGTAAGTACTTGCTTCCATGTTTTACTTTCCTTTCTTGTACCTTCCCAGGAGATCAACCCCAGACATTCTGGGTTAAATTTTATAACATCTATTTTATTGTCATTGTTTTGTTGCTTTCAATCCACCCTTTTCTTGCTCTTTTTAGAGTGGTATTGCAGTATTTACTGTTCAATTGCATGCAAATTATTTCCCATTATCATATTCTCAACCACTTCCTTTATCTATTCCTCTCTAAGGCAGTAGCCCCCTAATTCTCCTGTAATTCCAACCCCTCAAATTCCCTTGACCTTCCAAATAAAAAAGAGAGCCTGAGTGTATTTCAATATGTTGCTGGAGAATCTGGGGGGGAAAAAATCAGCTTCTTTCAAATTTTCTCTTAAAGGACTAAAATAGGATATTTGCATCTATTTTTTTTTTTTTTTTTTTTTTTNCTTCAATATTATTTCTTCTTGAAAGCATAAAGGTAAAACTCAGAAAGTGAGTCTTGTTTCTAAAGCTGCAAATATAAGTGACACATTCAGCTTGCAGAGATGGTGAGTTGCTCCTGGGCTTGAGTTTGACCATGATTTTTTAAGGGTGTGTCCAATGCATACATATGTATAAGATAAGAATTGATACACTGGATTGGACTAAAGCCCAGATAGCCTAGTAGTATGTTTTCAGCAGTGCTGAAACTTAATGCATCATAAAAATACAAAATCATTCAGGTTGGAGGACACATCAGAAGACATCTAGTTCAACCGCTGTCTTCTCAGTAGCCTCGTAGGTATGGGAAGGAAGTCTTCTATAAGGTCCATCCTAAGTCTTCTCTTCACCAGTTGCAACAAATACAGAACTAAAAAAAGCTTGCAGTATTAATTCCCCAGAATACTCTCTGGACTTCCAAGAATTTGTGGCTCAGTGCCTGAATTTCTGTGTCAGGGATGATATTTTTTAAATTCCCCTTGATCATTTTGTCTTTTATCAGCTCTTCGAAAATTTCTGGCACTAAACTTCTTAGCTCAGCTACATTATCTTTTTTTTTTGTTGTTGTTGTTGTTTTGACCCAGCCAATTACAAGTTTTATTTGATGTTTCCTTTTGTCAAAGAAAGATGGTGCAGTCTATTCAGTGGCATACTGATGCCTTCTGTTTTCTTCTTAGTATTTTGAAACATTGTTTTTCATGACTGTTAGGAGTACTGAGCACAGAAACATCTTGAGCTCATTCCTGTAGGGTTCATTAGCACTTTCTCTTTTGTGCAACCCTTCGCTGAATTTTATCTGCCATTTGAACATCCAGTCATTATGTCTCATGCTTTTCATTGCTAATGCTTATCTTCACTCTCCTTCAATAATGTAGCAGTCACATCAAACACTCTATTCCTGCTATTTTCTAAAATTTTGAGTGGAGCAATCTCAGCACGCACACATGCAGACCTTCTTCCAAGGACCAAACCAATCCTACTCTGCTTTCTGTTTTTATCTTGTCTTTAATTCATGTGTAAATATTCTCTCTTATTCTTTGACCCCACAAAAGATTTTGATGGAGATCCTCATTCAATGCTTTTTGGAAATTCAGGTGGATGGCAGAAGCTGTGTTGTTGGAAGGGTCAAAGTGAGAAAATGTATGTGTTGAGATAAGAACAGCTTAAAAAAATAAAATAAAATAATAATAATAATAATAATAATAATAATAATAATAATAATAATAATAGAAAATAACAAAGAAAAATAAAACCCAAGACAGACAAGAGATGCAAATGTAAACAAATGCTCTCCATAAAACAACCAATGCTCATGCAGTCCCCAAGCAGCAGCAGCTCCCGGGCCAACTTTCCCACAGTTTTAAATGCTGAGCATGATGATGCCCCATGATGTGGAATCTCCTCCTAGTCAGTGTGGTCCATTATCTCAGCTGTACCACTCCCAGCGTTTTGCATACCCCAGGACCCCCTGTTGTTGGGGCAGTATGAGGAGAAGAAAATGCCTTGATGTTATTACGGGAAGGCCACAATTAGGTTACCTTGGAAGACTTCTCTTTTCCAGGCTGAACAATCACAATTCTCTTAACCTTTCCTCTTTGGAGAGGTTCTCCACACCTCTGATCGTCTTGGTGGCCTCCTCTGGACTCGCTCCAGCAGGGCAATGTCCTTCATGTGCTGGGACCCCAGAGCTGGATGCAGCACTCCAGGTGGGGTCTCACCAGAGCAGAGCAGAGGTACAGAATCTCCTCTCTCTCACCCTGCTGGCCCCTCTGCTTTGGATGCATCTCAGGATATGTTAGGCTTTCTGGGCTGTGAGTGCACATGGCTGGGTCTTGTCCAGCCTCTAATTCCCCAGCACCCCCAAGTGCCTCTTGGCAGGGTTGCTCTTGATCCCTTCACCCCCCAGCCTGAATTGGTACCAGGGGTTGCCCTGATCCAGGTGCAGYATCTTGCACTTGGTCTTGTTAGACCACCTGAGATTCCCATGGACCCACTTCTTGAGCTTGTCCAGGTCCCTCTAGATGTTATCCTATCCTTCAGGTGTGTCAACTGCATTAGCCAAATTTTTCTAGAGAAAATGATAAGTTTCTTTGTCAGCTCATTGGGTCTGCCATTTCACAAAACGGCATCATATCTGCTCCCCTCTGGTCTATAGRCACCAGGCACTTGTAATTTAAAGGCTCTACACCACACTTACTGGATGAACTATTTTATTCTTGAGTTCTTTGGTGAATGACACCTGGTCCTGGCTGTTATCACTCTTTTTATCTATTTCTTCCATAGCCAACACTT